GAACGAGAAAGTGGTTTTCACAGCCAAAGAAAAACCACCACAAGTGGACGTTTTGAAGGACGAGGTGCCGTCCGTGTGTCTCTGCTCACTCGTCCTCCTTCACATTCGTTTCTTCCTTCTGTTCTTTGGTACATTAAAGATTTTTTTTAAAGCATAATCACTTTTCAAAGGTTTTTATTTTTATTTTTTTTGTGATAAAATTTGTGTTTCTTCTTCCTTTGTCGTTTGCTGACATAACTTTGTAGCAGCCATGGTCCAGTAAAGATGTGAAACCAACTGTGTGATGACGTTTGTCATTTATTGCTTATGCTGATTTTTCTCTTCAGCATCTCATGCTGAGTTGTGGATGAAATCCATCCAGCCAGTCAGCAACAGTGAATAATGTGAAATAATCATTTTTCAACTCTGGACAGCAATGGATAAAACGTAGTTGGACATGGAAAATGCTATTTTGTGTTGCTCTTTCACATAAAATCCCAGTAAACGCGTGAAAGTCGAGGCTTGATTTTATAACTAAATGAAAGACGTTTGAAAGCTTTCGCGAGGTTCTCCGGCACAAGATGTTCATCTTTGGTCCCGCTGACGTCAGAAACGACCGACCGCGGTAAGCGGTTCTCTGAACTCCCAGATACTCCAGATGGATTTCGTGGATCGATCAAAGAGGTGAAATGCAATCATGTCCTCGAGGGACACAGCTGTTCCCGCTGATGGTTCTCCGAAAAGAACAAGGTCGAGAACATTCCTGCTGCTATTAGAAATCAAATTGGGCAAAATGCACTCGCCAGGGATGATTGGGGGAGGAATCGACCTTTCGCTCCGCTGCGTTTCCATTGACCTTCATAACTGGGCGATTTGACATTTCGAAAATACATCCAACATGGCGGCATCGAAAACGAAAAATTCTAGCTCTTCCGTGAAACGTTTTCAGGATGAGGTAGTTTGGTGTCGTCACTGCTGAGGTGGACTGAACGGGTTCAAATCCTGAATTCATCTTTTGTCTGTTTTCCAGTTTGTCTGTGTAATCTCGTCCAACAGAAACAGTTTTTAGCTGTTTTGACTAAAATCCAAGAGCTGGATTTCCTCTCAACTTTTAAAAAGTCCAGTTTCCTTCATTAGCATCACTTTTCATAGAGATTCACCTCAGACTGTCAGAGAGTCTTCCACTGCCTGATAAACTACTACTTGATTAAATGAAGTTACCATGTGCAACTTAGTGACGTAAATTACAGGTTTTTAAGAAAGCCCGTGTGAAAGGGGAAGTTTTTCAAGAACGTTTGCTATGAATGCTGTGTCATGCTGTCACAGCCAAACGATCACCAGAAACGAATTAGTTACAATTTATTTTGTTTTTTTATTTATCATGATCTTTATTAATTACCTCAACAATACTATAAAAAATAAACTCCACATTGCTGGAGCCTAAAGATTTTCTTTTCACAGCCCTTCATGGAAAACCTTCCCCTCGTTCTTCACCTGATTTGAAGGCCACGCGATGTTTGGAGGTCGTTCTGGTTGGAGTCGGTCTGATGGGGGGACTGTGGTTCATCCACACGTACACAGGTAAATGCAGGAAGTGAGTCTGGTGAGATAATGACGCAGACCTGCTGGCCGATAGAACATATCACAGAGTCGTGAAAAGAAAACAAGAATTGGCCTGTTGGGAATGTTTCAGATCAGCAAACAAATAGAGAAAAATGAGAAATATTGATCAAAATTTCAGGTTTTAATAAAAAAAAAAGTGAACATTCATTTATGAATGCATAATGTGGTGAAAATATGACTGATTTTACCTTAAGTTGTTATTTTAAAAAAGCTGTATCTGCTAAACATGATTTAAAAGAAATTTCACTTTGAAATTGGGCCTCTGTCTCTTTAAGAAGCCTCTGCTTCTTTCTGAAAAGAATCTGGTGTTCTCCTCCATTATGCTGTTATAAGTGTTCTTAGGAGCAGTGCATTGAGAAAAAGCTCCTGTAATGAGCTCAGTAGACAGGAAGTTTCACCAGGTGTTTTCTAATTGATGCTGGCTAGTCTGGAGGGACTGAGCTGGTCAGGTACAAGAGAGGGGCTTTGGGTATGTAGGTGGTGCTTGGTGAGCCACCTCCGAATGATTGCCACGAAGAGATAAAAGGATTTCTCAAACATGTACAGATGAATCAAAGCCACGCTCCTGGTGTGTTTTTGAATATAGAGTAGCATCATGTCATGATGTAAAACTTAAAAGTGTCAATTTTACACAATACCCCAGCTTTCATACTTTTGCTTCGAGAGAAACAGATCAGGCAGTCAGAAACATTTCCTCGTGTTTGGTTGTGTAAGTGAAAGTTGTCCAAAGATATGCAGACGTTTGCCAAAGGCACAATCAGTTTGCAACCACAGAAATGAAACTATGTCACCCTGCATCTCGGCACAGACCGAGCCGTTTTAACAGTAAACATACAAACACCCGACAGCCGGGCAGACGCTGATTTAATCTGGGGCTCAGAGTCTGTGCGTGAACACCAGGCACAGGTTGGACGCAGCGACTCGACGGGTGTTTGAGACGAGAAAGTATACTTTGGTGAACCGACGGGGCTCAGTTCACCTCCAAACTGAGCCCCTCCGGTTCAGTTTAGAGGTAAAACGTGACGACGGCGTCGTCAGAAAATAGAAACGCCTGCTGTGTTACATGTGCTTGTTGTGTTTGCAGAGTCTCTGGACGTTTACATCCTGCTATGCAAAACCCTGCGGTCTTGTTGACGTGGAAAACGGTGTCAAAGTATCGAAGGACCGCAACGGCTTCTCAGCTTCAGGTTCAAGATGTTTTGAACACACTGGTTATAAATCTGTTATGCATTTATACGAGACAGGCTGACATCCAAGTACTTCATAGTCACAAATTTGAAAAGTACTTTGAAGGCCCTGACCACTGCAAGATGTTTTACTTTTGGTTTTCAACATCCATGCTTGTCTAACCTTCTGTCTTCCCACAGTATTCTCCCATGTATCTCAGACATTATATTCTTAGCTCTTAAGTTTTAATTGGCAGACTTTTTAGTCTATGCAATACAATGACATTTGATGTATTTTATGCTTTTATTTTCATTTGGGGCGTCAACGTTGGGCCTGGCACGGCTCTTTCATGAAACCTACCAAAACGATGCCGACAAAACTCTAATAATAGCAAATCAATTTTAGTCAGAACCTAATCTACCACTTGCCCTCGTTTCATATTAAAGACATTAGAGCTGTGGACCAGCTGGGGGGGAAGAGACTCAACCGAAATTCAAAGCGGCGCATTTAAAATAAGCTGCAGCGGTTAAATGCTTGTGTCAGTTTCAGACAATGTATCAGCATTAAGCAAAGCACCTGCAGATTTTCAGCTCTGATGTCGCCGATAAGTCTGAACAGTTGCATTCTTTTATCTCCTTCTCAGGATTTCCTCCTACAAATCTGAGAGTGGAGAACTGGGACAGGGGTTGCAACAGCTTCTGTGCATTTTTGCGTGTGTGTGTGTGTGTGTGTGTGTGTGTGTGTGTGTGTGTGTGTGTGTGTGTGTGTGTGTGTGTGCGTGTGTGAGAACACAGCTGCTTTCTTTCTTGCGTGTGCAGAGCCGTTTTTGCACCTCCGTCTTCACGTGCGCCGTAGAGACGAGAGGCCTCAAAACATGCGCATACAGTGGGTCTCGGTCATGTTCTGTGAAGTGCCACGAGTTTGATTCAAAGTGAAAAGTCGCAGGTTTGATGGTGCTGAGCGCTCGGCCCCCGAGTCGTCTCGGAAGAGGAGCCCGACCGCCGCATGACGAGACCCGCATCTGGATTCGACGGAGGAATGAAAATGTTGCCCGTGACTCAAACAGAGAGCGCACCGTCCACTCCTTTGGGTTTGTGGTGCGCGAAATGAGCCGAGATGTGTTGGCCCGTCGTTTCAACTCCAAGACCCCAACTTCTGTGTAATTGGTTGGTTTTTTTTAAATAAATAAATAAAGTTAGTAATGTGCTTTGTTGAAGTCAAATGCTGTAACATGTAATGCTGGATGTTACATTATTGTATTTGCTCAAAGCATAAATAAATCACGTTGTGGCCTGTCAGGGCCAGCAGAGCAAAGTTCAGTTTTCACTGTGAAGCCCACATGGAAACGGCAAGGTTAACATGTAGCGATGGTCATTTTGTTGTTTTTCTTTTTGTTTTTTAAAAGGTCCAGTTAAAAGGCTACGAGTCGTGACCTCTGATCTGTTCTTGTAGGAAACTATCATGGCAGCTTCGGTTGGCCTGGGCAGATCAACTCAGACCTGCAGCAGAAACAGCAACATTATTCCTGTTGGGGGTGGAAAACATAACTACATTTGCTTTGCATTGTCCCCACACGATGGCAACGATGTAGCATGATCCAATTAGATTCTTGATTAATGTGTTGTTGCTGTGTTGCTGTTTTAAGCTCTTGTTCAACGTGCCCTTTTTTCTTTTCTTTCTTTTTTTTTTTTTTTTACTTTGAGCCCCTGATCGTTTTTAGTTCAACAATTTGTAACCTCAAATTTTGCAACTCTATGTTAGGAACACAGGAAACAGATAGAAGGAGATGCTGTTAGCTATTAGCTTTAGCCTTTGGGATGCGAGAAGAGTTACCAGTTGCAGGTAAGATACTGACTGTTTTTCATATTTTAACTAAATCTATTTAACAAATTCTGAAATGTTTCCCCTAAATAATAAATATTGATTTCTATAATGCACAAGGCAGCATATAATGACTTTTTAATTCTTTTTTTTAATTCTTTTTTACTAAAAACAACTCTCATTGCAGTAACGTTTGGAAGATGCCGGCTGAAATGATCTACTACTCTTCGGGATGAAAGTGACGACTCTGACATTTTTTCAGGGAACAATTCTCCCATCACAACTCATAGCGTTTTATGGAGTGATTTTATAATTGTTGATTTTCTGACCGCAGCTGAAAATGCCGTCGTGTAGATTTAGAAACATCTCAATTATCATTACAGGATTAGTTCCACTTTAAAAACAGATGATTTAAAAGTGACCAGGAGTCACGTTAATCTTTATTCGCCTAAACAAATTTACACACCGTATATTCATGTAAACATCACACACACAGGTTGTCAAAGTTATGTACAAAAAAAAAAGCGAAAGCAGTTCAGCCTGATGTGCTCAGCTCTGGCTGTACACTTCTCCATAGCCGCACTGCGCCTCATGGTGGCGCTGTAGGTCCACCCTGCGCTGGAAGGAGAGCTGGCAGCGGGAGCAGCTGAACGGCCGGTAGCTGTTGTGCTTTCGGCTGTGGGTGATGAGGTTGGAGCTCTGGCTGAATCCTTTGCCGCACACCTTGCACACGTGCGGTTTCTCTCCTGAGCGGGGAGCAGAAACACGGCCGTCATGATTCACGCTCCAGTTCAACAGTGAACCCCACCGAGTGCGTCTGCCCCTCACCTGTGTGTATGAAGGTGTGTTTCTTCATGTCAGACTTCTGGTGGAACCTCTTGCCGCAGTACTGGCAGGGGTAAGGCCGCGTGTCGGAGTGGATGAGGAGGTGAGTGGACAGGGTGGACGAGCGCTTGAAGACTTTTCCGCACACTTTGCAGCCAAAGCTTCGCTCCTGGACACAGAAAACAACGAAGCTCACGATAAGTCCCAATGTGTCACGGGTCCGCCAAATCTTCCCTCTCCCTCACAACCCACTTTCCTGTCAGTGTACTGTGAAATAAAGCCTAACAACCAAAAGTCCTTAAAAGAAAGAAAGAGACAATTGAAGAGGTCACGACCTTTGCTCTGCTGTAGCTGCCGACAGCTCGGAACCCAAAGGGCACATGGGAAATGTCTGCAGCAGGCAGGGATCTCGACAAAGGGATGGAGAGGGTGTTGTACTCCTGGTCTCGCAGACTCCCTGACATCAGGATCTCTGAAACAGGCTGAGGAGAACGGACCAAGAAGAACCAGATCAATTCATGTTAGGTAAATAGTTCAGTGATAGAAAGTTTCATAGTGGATTCACTTTGCACAGAAATAGGTGAGCCGCGACGACAAGCGATCGCCTCAACGATGACATTGAAATTTAATTCACACCACCTCTACAGTAGACATAAAAATAGCTACTATATCTAAAAATTAAAAGCCAGCAAAAAAAAAACCCATCAGAAGCATATGATTTTCTCCGTTTTCTTTTAATGTTTTTTATTCAGTCGGTGATGGTTCTTGCATTAATGCCAGATTTCCTTCTGTGTCCGATTCATTTCAGGCACAAAACAAGGAATTACCTCTGCTTTTTTATGTGTCTTTTTTTTTTTTAACAGTAACCGTTTCGTACATTGTGATTTAAAGAATCTGTAACCAATCGACAGAACATGTAATGATTCAGAGCAAGTTTGTCTGGTTTTGAAGTTTTGGGACTTCACCCCAGAGAGATCCAGGTCGGTTTGAAAAAATAGCCATTCTGTTTGAAAACAGGAAGCAGAGAGTCGGACGCCAGTTTCGGAGCGGCAAAGTTGCGTTTTCGCACAGTTTGTGTAATACGGGGGAGCGCCCACTTCCCACTGACCAGACTTGCAAACGAGCGATAGAAAGCGTGTTTGTTAGAACGCTTGTGCCGCCCTCTGATGAAAGGGCGCCCTTGGTGGAGAGCCAAAGAGCCAAATCTCCCATTTGTATATAAAAAAGCTACAGAAGTTTATATTTTATGATTGTCATGAAAAGAAATACAAACTCCATTACAAAACAAAAGCTGGTCAAAAAAAACACTTGTGCAGTTTTTCTAACGGTCTGCTGTTCTTCGGTTCTCACCTTCTCACAGAGCGGACAGTCCCTGACCGGGGATTTGAGGTCAGTGTGCGACGTGTGGTTGAGCAACAAGAAGACGAGCCTCTCCAGTTCTCTCTCTCGGTCAGACTGTTGCCGGTCAGGCGACTGTGGTGCGACAGGCGTGGGACGGTCTTCCTGCTCCACAGGGGCTTCAGTCAGAAAATAAAAACAGATTTTTTTTTTAACCGGCAGGCTCCAAACTCATCACCGTCCGACCAACATAACAGTGGAAGAGACACAAGAGCTGGACTATTGGTTGAGTCTACAAGCATTTCTACAAAATCAACAGCATCAGCAGTCGGTATGTTGCTTATATTTGTCAGTACAGGTTTTTATCTCCTAAAGTTTGTGTTTGATATTGGGCTAACTTTCCCCTTCCGACGTCAACTGGAGTCTTGACCCCAATTGGTCGGTCAAGACTCCCCAATCACCCAACCTACCTCAGCTTGCTCTTAACAGCTAAAGGGTTCTCTAGTACAGTCAATATTAAATTTTCATTTGCTATTTATTACTTTGCAATAGAATCAGCTAGTGCAAAAAGCATCTATTTTAAGGAACGGGTTCATACCTGAAGGCCAGAGCTTGTCTTTTGGGGTTCTGTAGGAGCAGTTTGCCAGTCCGTCAGTCAGAGGGTTTCTGATCTCTGGGGATAAAGTTTGTGGAGCATCTTCAGGAAGCCCGATCCCATCCTGGACGTCAGTTTCAGCCTGCCGCCCGGAGCAGTGGTCCCTGGGCGGGCTGAGGGGATGCATCCGCTTGGTCTTGACGAGGAACGAGCGCGGCATGGCGGAGGTAGGCGTCTGAGGGAGTGAAGGTGGTGCGCTGTAAATCTGCTGGAGTCTTGAGAAGCCAACTCTTTCATGTCACTTTTAGAGCCCCGCGCGCACTCAGATGTCGCGCACCTGTCTGTTCGTCTTCAGTTACGATGCCAAAGTTTGAGGTTTCCTCAACAAACACAGCCTGCCACCTGCACAAAGGTTTTGAGGGCTCTCACTGAGGAAAACCCTGCGCTGCTGGGAGGCAGCTTTGAAACTGATTCCGTCGCTGCTTTTTACACCAACAGTGAGCTGCAGCAAAAAAGCAGAGCTCGGAGAGTCCAGCAGAGTCCAGTTATTAAAAGTAGGATTACATCACAAAAAATGCTTTCTAAAACTTTTTAAAACCTTCCCCTACAAGTGTCAACAACACTGTGTGGTTGTCGATGGGTGGTGAAGTGTCAGAAAGGTTGTTTGTGAAACCACAGCTCAGATTATTAAAACTTTATCTTCCAACACTTTTCTTTCTCTCACTTTTGTAAAAAAAAGAAATATAGTCGCAAAATAATTATACCTTCTAATCTGGTAAATCTGAAACTTTTAAATCCAAAAGAAGATTGTTGTGGGAATACAATAATAATAATAATAATAATAATAATTGGAACTTAAAAGTACCTTGGGCCAGTTTGAAATGAGAAAGCCAGCTTGAAGTGGTTGACCTTACCTCGGTGTTGCGCAGCCGAATGTTGACTCCGTCTTGTGCCCTCATTGCTCGCAGCATCCTCATTTCTTTTTCTCACACCCCTCAACCGACGACATGTCACAAAGAGATTTGATTTGATTTCGAAGGGCCGGCTGAGGATTGCAGAGCTGGAGGTGAAGGAAGTGGAGCCACCTGAGAAGCTCTCGGGAGCTGAAAGAATGAAACGTTCCACATTAACGCCTCAGAAGCAAGCAAAGCCTGTCTGTTATTTATCTCTTCTGACACTTTTTCTGCTCGCCAGACTGCCAGATGCAGAGCAACAGCCTGGTCTTGACTGCAGACACGTTTTGGGCCGACCCCTTGAAAGTGTGACGACTGTAAAACCCAGAAGATATTAATATACATATATACTTTTTTAAATACTTTTCCCCATTGATGGATTCATGTTGCAATGACTGTCCACCGTGGGTGGACTGACAAACACACCAAGCATTGTTTGGAAAGTCTAAATATCTCATCGTTCTCATGTGAACACGTGAACCTTTACAGCCCCGTAGAGGTGGGATACCTACAAACCCAATTGGTGGAAATACCCTCGGTGTCATGAGTCATTTTTCACGTTCACTCACCGTCAGAACGTTCAGCTGACTCCAGCCAGGGATGGGAAACGTCAATTTGTTTGTGCTTACATCACAGTTCACTTTTTATTTACTTTTTTATTAGTCAAGTGTACTTTTGATCATTTTTAATTTTATTTGATCAGTTGTCATTATTAATAATGAAGCTTAGTTTCAGTTTATCTGTTAAGTAGTTTTAGCTCTTTCATGCATTGGAAAATTTGTAGGTACAAAATTCAATGTATTTCAGTGATGAATATTCAGCAGAAGATAATTGTTGTTAATTATTGTTGAACAACAAACTCATTCTGCCGTTTTATTATTTCTTTTGTGGACTAGATCAAAGAGGCTTATAAATAAAATCATTAACATAAAAATGAAGGAAATTAATCATTCCAGCATGTTTTAGTCATTTAAGTTTTTCCCCATTAATTGATTTTATTTATTTCTGTTAGCAAAAATGTTTTGGGCATTTTGTTCTTTTTAATTAGCTATATTAACTCTGTAACTCACTGAATACACCAGTGTAAAGTGTAACAAAAACAAAGTAAATAAATAACTGTAAAAGAATGCTGCAACGATGATTTTGATTACGTTTTGAAGCAGAAACCCATGATTCATTTTAAGCTTCTATGGAAACGACAGAGGAGGGAAAAAATGTTTAGAGTGCAATAGAAACAGTTTCAACTTCATGTTCAGATTTAAAGTTAGAAAACACCAAGAAAAATCTGAATTTATTGCTGCTTTTTATTTGTTAGAAGCAAAGTGTATTTTTACAATATCTGAAATATGATCTCTCAAAGCAAAAGGTAATGTTTCTCCTTATTCTCTGAAACAGAAGAGATGTGTGAATAAAAACAACCAAGTTTAAAACGTTTATTTTGTCAAACTTGGACAAAAGAAAAGAACAGCATGGTGATGCACTGACTGCGCGCCCCAGCTACCACCATTATTAATTGTGAAATCTGAGCTCAAGTTCAAGAAATGTGCTCGGAGCTTCACATGAGAAAGTCCGGATGATGAAACCGTGAGTAAGAATTCAAAGTTCCCACAAAAGATGTACTAAAGTGCCAAAACTCTCAATTGAAATGAAACTATTCTCAAAAACTGAAAAATAATTCAGTAAAATAAAACAAAAAAAGGTCAAGTTAAGAGTTTGGACTGACCTATTTCTGGGGCAACAAGGTAAATCTAACATGTCCAGGTCTAGGATTCAAACAAACAACTGAAAAAAAAATCTCTTGAACATTTTTAAATCAAATATTTTCCTAAATGAATATATTTTTTCTTTTCTAAAAATTTAACCTGCATCTTTTTTCAGAGCCACAATTGAACTCTTAGAAACATCCACGTCACGAACAAGTCGCTCTGCCGCCCTTTTGATTCTTGGAAAATCAAAAGTGGAAATTACGGACAACTTCATTATCATCATCACAGTGAATGATAATTCACTGTGAGAGCTCGCCGAGTGCTGCAGCGTTTCTGCCCTTCCTCACCATTTCAACATCTCTGAAACACCAACTTCACACCTTTTGTGTGTGAGGGTGTGTATTCCTCACTGCCACCACAAACACACACACACGTAATGAAAAGGACTGAAAGTCATACAGACACGAGTTCCTATTTTAAGATTCAAATTTTGAGACTCTTGTGTAGAGAACTGCTGCTCTTGCACTTGTTGTCAAAGGACAAATGGTCACACTGACTGAAAATCAAGAAAGATGATTGGTCAAATCGCTTTGCACATCTTTAAATCCTCTAGTCTTGATTTTACATGACGTATTAAGAGAATTAATTTGTCTCCTCACAATTAAAATAATTTCTATTTTCGTCACAGACGGCCAACTCAAAACAAAAAAAAAAATCACACTGACGATGCACCTTTAAGGAGGCAAAGTGGCCTAATTTAAAGGCGTCCTGAAAAGAACATATTAAAATAACACATATTTTCTTTAGAGCTCTACAGTATTTCTAGAAAGAAACATTTTTTTCTTTTCTATTTGGAGTTTTCTTTGGCAAATAAGGAAGATCAGACAGAAACGTGAATTCGAATCACCGTGCCCTTCCTTCTTCCTGTTCTCGGTGACAGGGACTTTCTTATAAATGATGTAGCATCCTCCCACGGTGTTCTGTGGAGGCGATAAGATGCACGGACATCTTTATTTTATTTTTTTTTTATATACATATATTTTTTTTTGTTTGTTTAGCGTTGTTTCTCTAGTTCACACAGCAGGAATGTCTGGTTGAGTTTGAGGCCTGTGCCAGCAAGAAATACCTCCCTAAACCAGGGGTTGACTTCAGCTTTAGCTAACATCACGTTGTCTTTCTGAATAACCATTAGCATTTCTTGCCCATATGTCAGGAAGTGAAACATCATGGATTGTGGAAGTAATTTTTTTTCAATTATTTGTGGATGTAGTTTAACGCCGTGAGGCCAAAAACACGATAACCCAGCTAACATTTGTCAATCAAATGTTATCACGTTTAAGCTCCAGTCATTAAATAATTACACGTAAATTGAAAAATTAGCAACTTCTTCTCAGTGACTGAGTATAACATGTTAGCAGCTTCTTTGAGGGCTGTTAGCTAGCCGATTAGCTAACAGCAATGACCATAGCTTTGCTAGTGGGCTTTGCTTAGTTAATTAATTAAGATAATTAGCCAATTTGATGTCTGACCAGTAATACATAAATTGAAAAATTAATAACTTGTTCTCAATAAAACAGAGACAAAATATGAAACATTAGCAGCTTCTCTGAGCATCGCTAGCTAGCCGATTAGCTAAGAAAAGACCAATGGATGATGTCTTTGATTCAAATGCTAAGTTTATAATGTTTGGACACAAATGAGTAAATTATTAATCCATTCATTAATTCATTATAACCTAATATTGGGTAAAAAACATTTCATCTAGTTTCTTGGGTTAAAGCAGTGATCAGAAGTAGCCCCCTTCATTCGTCGTCGGTAAACCTTTTCAGCAACGCCAGTTCTTCACCTCTTCCACAGGTTAAGAAATTTCAATGGTTCAATTTACCCTGCATAAAAAAAAGTTAACATGACCGCATTGTGTTCAAGAGTTTCAGTGAACAGATTGGTTTACTTAAGATAGTGTTAACCTACATGCCACATAGCTAACGCTAGATGTTTAAAAGTCAAATTTATGACCTGCCTATCATCATAAAGTCAATATAGACGGGCAATGTTCTTGTACAACATATTTTTACAGACTTCACCAAAGTTCTTCCACAGGAGGAAATTGTGTGCTTTACGGGCAATTTTTTTGGATTTCTCGATGGAAACACAACAAGAGCACGTGAAATCAGAATTAAACTTTGGTAAAGGGCGTCGAGATACGCTTTAGCTGATCGGTGACTGGCCAGCAGTTGACCCTTGACCCTTACACTTGTGCTATCCAGAAGCATTCTAACTATAACTACCCACATATAAAGTTCACAAACAATGCTGCCTTTTTGGGCACACCTCAGCCCGATGCATTCAACTGAAGTGTGTTACTTTCTGAGACGTCAGGCTGCTTGTCAGTCTGTGTTGCTCACAAGTCAGAGGTGTCAGAGTAACTATAAGCTCAACATGGAGGTTAAGCATCAGAAAAGCATTCAAAAGTTGCAGATCGAAACTCCATATCAAAAGTTTGTCATAGTTTCTCTGTTTGTGAACGTGACGCTGCTCTGTTGGTACGCACACAATGGAGAACAACCCTGTCATCTGCCTCTTTTGCAGCTCAGCAGTTAGAAATTCTCACAGGTTTTACCAACTCGACGCTCGAACGAGCTCAACTCGAGT